GATTTCCTGTGCTAAAAAATATTCTGTGGCTTTGTGCCATATGTAGAACCAAGGCTATAACTTTGCCAACCTTTAATCAGCCAAAGGACAATAAAAAATCTTTCTCTTTGATTTAAGAATTATTTTGTGAAAATAATAATAAGAATTTGGAACTTGACACTAGTAACATGGTATATATTGTTTTATGACTACTTTAGGACCTCTGGTTTTAAATTAACTTTAGATCTGCAAAAACAAAGGAGTTTATCAATTGTTCACTGGAAACACAGCACTGTGTAAAAAAGTTTGCATATGACAAGACTGGACAGCAGACACAAGTATTAGATTTGAGATGATGTAATAACTCTAGCCATGGCAGAAATAAGGAAGGTTAATAATATAATGGACTTTACCATATATTCTGTAAAAGCCTGTAACTTGATCTAATGCATATTTCTCAGTGGCTGAGCTCTGGTCTTGTTGTGCTGAGACAGTTAGCTCCAAAATTAATTTATATTTCTCACTAATAATGGTGCCTTCACAATTTTGAAAAATATAGAAAGATAACACCATCTGCCTAATTTATCCAAATTGCCCGAAATACATTTTCCCCTCTTTTGCTCTTTTCTAATGGTTCAAACTATAAGAATAGTATGTTCATTCAGTTATAGCAGTTTTGAAACGATAACTGTGGCAATGCCCAACATACCAATTCAACTGTTTCCTTTGGCATTATTTTAACATTTCTAGGAGTAATCCTTGTCTTGCATCGGTTTAGCATTTTTAAGCCCGGGATTATTCTTTGTTTGAAGCCTGTTGGTCTTTTCTTTTATTTATTTATTTGTGCTGCCGGAGCTACAATTTACTACAATTTACTGTAAAGCTTTTGACTGCCATCCCTAAGATCCTTGGCAACTACAGTAAGTGCAGTTCTGTAATCCTTGGTCAGTACATTGATTCCCACCACCATTTATGTTGGACTGTATTCCACTGCACAACTCCCAAAAATATTACAATAAATGATGAAGTTAAAGGAAAGGTGTTTGCATGGTTGCCTGACTTGATTTAAGTTTAGCTGAAGCCCTTTTTGAGCTGAAATTTCTCTGGTTGCTCCAGTTTCCTTACCCTCCTCAAAGACACAAAAGTTAGGTTAGATTTGGTGTTGACTTAACAATGGATGGATGATGTACTGAAGGTGATTCCCATCTCTCACAATATTAAATCCTTAACAGGCTTCAGAATCACATGACCCTAAAAAAAAAAAAAAAAAAAAAAAGCTGGAGAACCACAGAACACATGCAGTGATATATCAAGTCACGCTTTCTTAGACAGTGCAGTTGTTTTCCATATCTGTCCTTCTCATTTTGTCCATATTTTTTAACTAAGCTAAAATCTTAGGTGAAATTTTAATTATAGAGATTTTTTGAAGAACTTTATTACTAGCATGGAAGACAATAAAAGATGAAGATGCATGAAAACCTTAAAGTATGAAGCAATGATTTTATGACAAGACCCAGGTATTAATGCAGGGTTGCAGGGGAAGTCACTGGGGAAGGTGGATGGTCATTTCATCAAAGGGGCAAAAGAGTTTAACACAGGACAATCAACCATGCTCACCTATCCACACTCTTATTTAATGGGAATTTGGAGGGACAGTATATTTAACACGCCTGTTTCGTTCCCCAGAGGAACATGTAGCATCTATGCATTAATGGGAAGAACATTAATGCATGGATGGGTTGCAAGGAGTTATTGCAGATTTAAGATTTGATTTTAATTCTCACTATAGTCCTGGAATATATAAGAGGTTAAACCAGAAATGTGTTTAAGTCATTCCAATTTATAGCTCTGTCAGGGTTATAGTTAGGGATTAACAGGGAAAGTTTATCCAGCTTGCTTTTATGAAATTTATATTTATATAGACAGCTTTTTGACCATCCTAGTTTGTTAAAAACACTGACAACTGGGTAGGTGAAAAACTTTAACATATGGAATTTACGTAAACAATCCACCATTATACTGTACCATTATTTTCCTTCTCTTTCCTTCTCTTTTTTCAACTTTAAAACAAAACATAGACTCACTCTGTGATATTCTGTAAGCTTACAGAGGAAAAAAAAACAAAACAATTCTACGGTAGTTCTGAAATTCTCTAATTCCATAAGATTATTAGCTGAAATATGTGTACATGTACATGACAGTGGATTTGTCGAGGAAAACCAATGTGATGTTTGATCTTAATCTGCCTTTCTCTGAATCCTTAAACTGAGTCCCCGCAATTTAAGCTTTTTGTTGCAGTCTGGAGATTTAACTCACATGCTTCTGGTTTATGGTAAAGAGACTATAAAAAAAGAACCCTGTGCTTTTGGTTTTCTGACAAACCACATCAAACAGGAGGAGGGAAAAGGGTTTGAACAGGTGCAGAATCTTTGCGCGAGCACAGACAGATCTTATTTTGTATGGATCACAGCTCAGAAATGTCAGCTGTGGAGCAGCGAGATGGAACATTTTGAACCTGATAGATCAGTGTTGTGTTGCGGAGCATGTCTGGGTGAGTAATGAACTTAACTTTAGTGTGGCAGCATTATATACTGAGAGCCACGGAAAATCTTGGAGTTGGGTTACGCAATGATTCTTTTTTTTCTACCTAAATAGGACCTGTGGGGACATTAAACATTTTCACATCATGCTCATAAAAAATGGAAAATATGGTGAATACCGATATAAGATTAAATCAACTTGCTCAAAAGCATTTCCAAACAAAACCTGTGAAAGAATATAATAAAAGTGCACAAAACCTATCTTGAAAGCAAGCAACCGATCCTTATGATGCTATAATGAATGTGAAATGTATTCTGAGGGCAATTCAAAAAGAACATAAACCTGAAATTATTTTTTTCCTTTTGATGTTTTGGCTGTTAATTGTTCTGTAGATTGATTTTCTAGGTTTCCTGTTCTGCTTAAACACCAAATAAAAGATGAGGTTAGGGCAGCAGGGAGATATCTAGTATAAGAACAAGAAAAAAAAAACATTTATATTGTGTTCACATAGCTTCTACCTAATCAGCAGAAAATATGAGACCAATCACAAGGTTATGTCTGTCTCTATGCTTTTTTCCAAACATATTTGGAGTTTAGAGGTACTCTGAAGGTGCAATTTAGTTTGGTTTCCACCTAATGCCGCAACTAGGATCAATTTCCTTCTTGTCCTGTTTGCTAATCTTCTCAAAACCCTGTTAGTTTTATGGCTTGATCTAGCGACTTAAGGACGACAGAAAAAAAAAGCCACTGACCGCAGTGTAAACCAGTAATTGGTTCACCTTGAAAGCCGATATGGCCGCCTTGACCTCTTGCCAGTCAGCAAGTCAGAAAGCTTCTCTCAGTCTTGTCCGTATGCCTGTTGGCTTGCTTTTGCTCCCATGGTCAGAAAAGCAAACATTGCAAATATGTAAAGTAGAAAAAAAATTCCTGGCCGACAGTTTACTTGCAGCTCAAGCAGTACATGAGCAAAAAGCAAGTGGGAAAAAGGGAGAGAGGCACATCTGAAGTTTCAATGAAACTGGAAAATAAAGACAAGACCAGGATATTCATGTGAGGAAGAAATTCGGATTAATAATCATAATGTGTATTTGAGTTAAGAAATGATAACAACCAATCTTTGTAAACTTAAAATAATCCACCTTTATACCTCCTTGCATAACCAGGATGTCTGAAAATCTTTTTAAGTTACACTAACAGTAGTTATTGGAGGACAGAGAAAAATCCAAGACCATAGTGTTTGTTACATGCTGTGACATTCATGAAACCTGTTCATTCAAATGTTATGCTCAGAGCTTTGCTTGCTGCCTGACCTGTAGAATCAAGACATCACAATAGTAGAGCATGTCTGACAATAGGAAGTAGACTAAAAGATCTAACCTTGATCTACAGGTATAGAACTTGAAGACGTGATTACAAAGCAAATTGTATATTGTTGGGGTTTGGTAAGAGATTCAAAGCCATTTATAACTAGAGAGGCACTTTGAGAGGCAGATTTTCCCCCATATTGTGACTTAAACCTATAGCTAATACTAGCACATGATCTGGATCATTACAATTTTTTATGTATTGTTCTTTGACACGAAGCATACCTCTGGTAAACATTTTGTTAAGATCCATTCATAACTTTAGAAGTTATCCTGTACAAAGACAGACAAACACACACAAAAGCTCTCCTAAAAACATTACGTCCTTGGCAGGGGTAATTATTTGAAGGAGTAGAGGTAGGGGTAGGGATTCCCCAAAGTTGCCACCCTACCAAAACTACTCCAATAGGGTATGCAGAGCAAAGCAGGCCACACTTGTCTTGGTCAAGGTCAGTGTTTATTGGTAGGAGAGAAGCAGAGCAAAAATGGTATTATAGGGAGAATTAAAAAAAAAAAATCCAAGACCTTTGTTAAAAAAAAAATCTGTGGACTCGCAAGACAAAACTTTATCATTTTGGAAGAGTTGCTTTTTTTAAATGAACAATATCTTGACAGTAATGTGTGTTGTGATGTTTTTCTGATGCTGTGCTTTATTTTAGGATCCGAATAACTTGATATAATCCTGCATTTTGTTCTATCATTTTATCATTTTAATCATTCATAGCAGTTTTAGCCACCAACCGTAGCCCAGGTAGTTATTAGGCTTAGAAAGAAATTACCTTTTCACGTTGTATGTTTTGTTTGTTGCATTACATTTGTCCCTTAGTGAATGAGACTTTGTTTTTTGTATTTACTAATCTAATCTTTGTCTCGGATTAAACATGTGACAGTATAACCCCTTGGAAATACATCACAAATACTGTTTTTGCAGCTCTGTATTGGTAAAATCCTATTGGCATTTCCATGAACATTTCCGCTGTCTTAACAATGGTGCCAGAGTTTTTAGAATTAGTATTTGATACAAAATACAAAGAGTATGATAGCTGATGTCATTAAAATGCAATATAGATTTTTAAATCCTGCTATTTCATTCCAGCCATTTTATGTCTTTACTAGGTATTTTGGAGATCAAATCAGTGGACGTTGGAGTGGTGGCCATCAGGGGCCTCAGCAGCAACCACTACCTGGCAATCGGAAAGAATGGAACACTGTATGGAGCTGTAAGTACTTACTGTTATGCTTTTGCCCTGCTATACACAGGTTGCCTTTTAGCATTTGTAAAACTTTTAATTTATTTGAAGAATTTAATTTCTGTTAAGGTTAATTTGGGAACTGTTTGACGACGGTGTCTTCTTCGAGTATAAATTAAGGTGTGAATCGGTATTCTCAATCAAGTTCTGTTATTAAAAGGATCTGGCTTTTTCTATGATTTTAAGATAATAACATAGATATTTTATAAATGTGTTTCCTAAACCATTTTCATACCTATGTTTTTAGCATTTTCAAAGGGTTAACAAAAATGGAATTAAAAGAGGATAAATACAGTTTTTTAGGCTATCAGTTCCTACCAAAAGAATTGTACTTTTTTCTTCATTTAAATTCAGACAATCCCTGGAAAACCAACATTATAGATCAGTAAGGCAACTAAGAAAATTATTTACAAGGTTGGCAATAACATAAAGTTGTGTACTATTGGATTCACAATTATAAGATCTTTCATTGTGTCCATGACAGAGTAAATGATATCACTCTAAAAAATATAAATTAAAAAGTAGAAGACCCACAATAGATCCTTGTGGAACACCGTAAGCAACATTAACATTATCAGATTCAAATTTCCCAAAAGAAACAGATAACATTCTATCAGTAAATAAGTAGACAACAAATTCAAAAAAGGAACCATTGAGACTTTTTATAGCATTGAGGGCAGTGAAGGATTTTAGAATGGCCAACAGCTTCTGTGCTGTGGTTGGTTCTAAACCCCAACTAGACTCATGCGAACTTCCCTTTTATCAAATTACACAAACCATTATAGTTTTGGCTAAAATATATTTGAATGAACAATTATAAATATATACATCAAACCTTTGCAATATATTAAGGGACTGAATAAAATACTTAAAATGGACTACTGACTGTTGGAACCAGTTTGTCTGTGTCAACTCTCCTGTCTCTGCTCTCCATTCAGAAAAAAGGAAACATAATCCAGCAGGTTATTTATCCAGCTTCAGTCCCTTGAGGAGAGAAGCCCTTGTTTCATCTGTTTTCTCCCTCTTTATCCTATTTTCTCAATCTCATTCTGTTCCTCTCCTTCCTTTACTTTGAAAGACCCGTTTTTCAGCGTGTCTTTCTGGAGCTGCAGCACAGATGAAATGACATACGGTGTCGGTGAAAGAGAAAAAAAAAAGAAAAAAGAGATTTTGTTGCACGACCTGAAACTGAATTCCCATGACGTATTCTGCCCGATGCAACACAAGCCAACGTTGGCGGTTGGCTGGTGAGGGGCTGGCATTGGATTACACTTGATTGCTTTGCACAGTGACTTCTTTATCCGGTAGTAATCAATTGAAATCATTGTTTGATTACATCTCCAGACAAAATATCAAAAACTGTCATGATTAAAAAGTTTGATAAGGAATTTATCAATGATCAACTGCATAGCATGTTGACAAAAAGTTTTTTCCTTTTTCAGAAGATACATTTTTATACTATTTAGATCTGGTCTAGGTATTTTAAAATTGATATATTGCTGTTATATTAATCTGATTTAATTTAAAGACAGACTAAGTCCCACACACACAAAGTTTAAATGCTACACAGTGTCTGGTAAATATTCTCCTTTTGCTATGAGAACATTCAGTTTTGTTTCTGGAACCAATTTGAACAGCTGTGGCCAGATTCAAGACTGTGAGCATGGGTGTGCGTGTGTGTATGGATTGTGGGGGGGTGGGGGCAAGAAAATTTTTTCTTCTGAGTATCAACTGCATCCAGTTAACTGCCTACTTAAGTGACGTTAGCCTTGAGCACAACGGCAGCTTCCAGTAAACTGACAAAGAACGCTCCCTCAGATCTTTTCTCTCCTTGTGTACCAGTCATTGCATTAGCATTGTAAAACTCAGACATCGTGTCACAATGCTCTGTACCTGCAGCAGGCTTTAACCTCCGAAATGTCATGCTTTACAAGATCCTCTTTTCTGAGCTTCATCCAAAATAAGATCCCATTTTGATGTTTTACTGCTGGCCTTAATTACACATGGGAATAGTCCTTAAGCAATGGCTTACAGTTTGTTGATTTGTGTTGTCAGAAGAAGTGAAGGAGGAAGATGTCTTTACGGTGCTGTACAGAGCCAGATAAAAAGAGAAAACCTTTGCAACATACTGCATGAGTTGCAGTCTATAAAAGGAAAGTAGTGACTTAAAGAGCAGCAGTCTTTAGAGCTACAATGAAGGAAGGTTCGCAAAAGCAATTGACATTTCTCCTTAAAGTTATTATGATGGTGAAAGATTAAAATGAAAGGTTATGATTGGCTCTAGGGGGGCTGTATTAAAGAAAACATAATTTCCTCTAATTTTAAATTGACACCTGTTAAAAGGTTGGAACAGATGTACCTTACCTGTAGGAAACTCTATTAGCATATTTACTTAGTTGACTCCAGAGTCCTTAGTTGAAGCTAATGGTAAGTCCAAGAGAGGTTAAGATCTAAGTAAACAACTACAGTCTAAGAACAACTCAAAACAAAACAAGAAAAACATCTTGGTGATTTATATCAATATAGCTTTTATGAACCTTTAAAACATTGTCATGTTAGCATTGGTTAATTACAGAAACCTTTGATCGGAGGTCAGAGGAGGTGTGCAGAAAGCTGTCTCTTTGTGGTAATATTTTCTCAAAAGGTTCACAAAGGTGCATTCAATATCTTTAAGTCGTTTGTGGGGGATTTTAACTTTAGGTTAAAAGTATGTGCTTTTAAATGTCTTTTTAAACACGGACAATGTCCCATTAAAGATAATTTATTATATAAATTTATTATATAGATGTTATCTTCGTTATCTTGTATGTGCCATGTACCATTAAGGAGTTCCACAGTATATTGTACCTACAAGAAAGAAGAAATACACCAATCAGAAGCCCAGGTCTCAGTAGAATAAATGAATCAGTTGCAGAGGGATTTAATCTAACTAAATAATCATTACTATGTTTTAAATAAGTGCAGATTTTTTGAATTTTATGTTCCACTTAAATGTTAAAGCTGTACAAGGAAAGTTTAATATCAGAACAATAATTGTATGAAAAATTCAGTTTTTAAACAAAGATTCATGTATTCGCCATAATAACTGCTTGCGCCACACTTTGGCACAATAAGTACAGCAGCGAGTTTGGAAACAACTGATAATGAGTCTTCTACATTGCTATGGAAAGATTTTATGCCTGCATGTTTCTGATTTATTTCAGCCACGCTGGTGGGTTTTTTCAAGCATGCATGGTCAGTTCAGTGTCACACTACAGCTCTGATCTCCAACGGATTTAAGTCTAGATTTTATTTGGTTTGGTTTGATCTTATAAACCGTACAGAATGGGTTTGATTAGTTTTATAGGGATTTTTTGTGATCATGATAATTTGTCATGTTTTCTTGAAGTAAGTTTGGTAGTAACCCGCCCTTGGGAAGCTTATTTCACTGTTGCTTGTTCTTTTATTTATTGATATTGGTTCTCAGTGTGGTTCATTGAAGTTACAAAGGCCTTAAGAATGGCTCTGTAGCCCTTTGCACTCTTTAAATCAGGGCATGAAGTGTTGCTTTTTTGCTCATTTTTTTTTTCAATAAAAATGTGTTAGTCACAGATAATTCATGATAATAGAAATATTCTTTTACTTAAAAAGTTAACATTATTATCAAAAAAATATCTGTGCAACAAAAACAAAAATAATCTTTATGGCACAAATACTTCACAGCACAGTTGTTCAAGGAGACTAAAGCATTTCGGTTTATTACCGGACAACAAAGAGAAGCTGTAATTATGTAATCTTTGAGGTTTTTTGCATGGAATTTGGCTCTAACAATCATCTTGTAAAACTGGATTAATCTTCTGCCAGTAGAATGCCTCAGATATGTCTGTGTACAACCACACATCGTTCTGAGTGAACACATCACTCACTCATCTGGCTCTGTGTCAAGCAAAAGGCCGCTTGGAGCCACTAGCAGCGCTTAGAGATGCTGCTCTTTCCAGAGTAGAGAAGACAGTACAAACATTAAACATGATTTATAACCTTTGATACTCAGCCTTGTTTCATTTTTACATGTTTCCTGTCCACAGAGGGAGTTTGGTCCTGATTGTCGTTTAGTTGAGCGCATCGAGGAAAACAAGTACAACACCTACGCTTCTGCCGAGTGGAGGACCAAAAAAAACAAGAACATGTTTGTGGGACTGAATGCCAAAGGAAAACCAATGAAGGGAAAGAAAACACGGAGGAAAAACACATCAACTCACTTCTTGCCCATGGTGGTGCCACCACGATGATGGGATGTATCAGAAAACTGCAGGACGTTTATGATGGCGACATCGGACAGATCTGATCATGGTCTGTAAAATGCACTGAGGGAAGCAAAATTAAACTTATAGAGAGTGGACTTCTTGTTTGGAAAAGGACGGTTCTATTTTAAAAAAGATATATATCAGTATACATGTATATATTATTTTTGGTTTTAAGTTATAAAGTACACTGGCACAATAATTACAAAAGAAACGAACAACTGTGCCAAAATGTGATTAAAATATTCACATCCAAAACTTTCATGCATTTTTGGAGTGCATGAAAAAGAGATAAAGGTACTGTTAGAAGCCTGACCAAGAAATTTTAAAAGAGGATATAGGTTGTTCATGACACCACCAATGGATATCTAACGGAAACATGTCTCTTTCTGCAGATTTATTTATTTTATGTTATATTTAACAGAGATAAAGAATAGAAGACATATTCTTCTCTTTTTACCTACCATTTATGTTTCTCTTTTTAAGCTACTAATCATCTTAACCTGTATAAATAAAAAGAATATATTTGTCTTTAACTTTTTGAGTTCAATATTTAAATTTGACACAAAAAAACACAATTTAAACACTGGCTATAAAGAAAGATTATGCAATTGAGGGTTTACAATTTTGTGAAATGTTCTTCACGTGATAAAACGCTGATAAAATAACTGCCTCTATGTGACTGAAGGTTCAGTTCTCAGTCTATCTTGACACAAAATTTTCAGCCATATCAGTGGTTTCTAGCTATCATAGCTGAAGCTGTGGGCTAACACCCTTTAGTCCAATGATTATTACCTTTGTTTTTATTGAGTCGGAGAAAATTGTGGCGCATCCAATTATTGATCTGTTCTAAGCATGTTGCCAATGCTCCCCTGGTTCACCTGGTGACATTATAATATAAAGCTGTATGTTGTATGCATAGTTATGGAAATGGATGTTGCTGTCTGCTATAATCTGAGCTAAAGGGAGCACATAGATATTGAATAGGAGGGGCCCAAGAATGAAGCCTTGAGGAACTTTGCATGTGCTATTTCTGGTCCCTGATCTAAAGTTCCCTACAGACACACAGAAGTCCCTGTATTACAGGTAGTATTTAAACCAATTGGGCATACTTTGGTATTGCAATGGTTAGCACCAAGACCCATCTAAGGATGCCTTGACTTGGCCGACCCGGGTACAAATCCAGCCTGTGCACCTTTGCTGCATGACTCTCCCTCTCTCTTGTACCCCCTTTTCTGTCAGCCCACTGCACAATAATGAGAAACTAGTGCCTCAAAAATTATTTAAACCAACCTACTGCTGTACCAGACAAGATGACCCAGTTTTCCAGATTTTTTAATAAAATCAATTGACCAACAGTATTGAAAGTACTGAGGTCCAATAATACCAGCCTTATGGTTCTTCCACAGTTTGAATTTATACAGATTTCACCGAAAACCGTAATCAGGGCGGTCCCAGTACTGCGGTTGTCATGCAAACCTGATTGGACGACATCAAAGCAGCTGGTCATTAGAAAGAAGGAATTTAACTTTTGAAACACAACTGTTTCAATCATATAACACGGGAAAGGTTTGATATGGGTCTGTAGTTCTGCAGGATAAATTAGTCTTTTTTCAATAATGGTTTGACATGAGTATATAAGGATATGTTTATGATTTGAATCAAAACAGATGTTAATTATATCTCTGAGGTCTCGCTTTAAAATTTTCATAGTAAACTTCTTTCACCACCTTTGTTCAGCTTTCTTATAACAAATTCTTTGGTAATTAGATTAGAGGAAAAATGCTGTCAAAGTAAAGAGAAGTATGTACTCATAAAGCAACATCAGTAACAGAAACATTTTAAACAAAAGTTGTAACCCAAAGTTTGATTATACACATGAATACCAACTAGATTTGTAAAATTTAAAAAAAAAAGTTTTTGGGCTGCTTTGACTAGCCTTTTATTTGGGTGCAAATTGATAGGATGTGTCATTAATGAAAATATTCTGAAATATAACTTAAGAATATAAAATTGTATCACAATAGAATTGTGTTGTTGTTTTTTAAGATCTTATAGTTCATCCAATTACTTTTAAATTATAGTGGACAATCTTCTTGCAGCTTTCAGTTCTGGAGAGATTAGCTTATCTATTAATTGTTCTGCTTTTTTGTCCTGCTCATTCTCCCTTGTCTAACAGGTGCACTTCCAATGTTTACGTATTCTGTGAGCTTTGCTTTTAGCCATTCATTGTAGCTCCACTACTGTCACTGTATGCTTCGAAAAAAGCTGATAATTGCATGAAGTAAGCTGTCTTAAAAGTTTATGAGAAGAACAAGAAGGTCCCAATAGATCAATATAAGACCAGGTTGTATTTGAGATATTTTTCATTCTTTTGGAGAAGAGAAGGTACTGTAAAGCAGGCGCACTGAAATTGCATGTGTGCAGTATGCAAGTCATTCAAAAAGTTACTTGGAGATTAAAAATGTATATTTCTAACAAAATCGTCCACTATGCCTTTGGTTAGCAACAGAAATAATAACATAAACCAGGTTTAAGAAAAAAGGTACACAATTTTCATTTTTTCTTTCACTATAGCAGTAAGCTGGCCAAAATTAACAAATGGCTAGGTATATAAGACAACCGTCTACTAAACACAATGAAAATAGCCATATCATAATTCTGTCATGAATATAAAAGTCTGAAAAGAAAAGAGGGCTCTGCCAAATGTCAACATAAATATGTGTTTAAACAGCCCATGAGGAGTTATTTCAGGTGTTTTTAAGGGAGTATCTGTTTAGTAAAAGTTATCTTACTAGAAGCACCTTCTTGACATCTTTATGTAGTTTAAATCTGCAATAGCCAGCTGTATAAAGCTTGCTGGAGTCTTAAAACTCCAATCTCATAAATTTCAAAGAGGTTGAAATAACCATGATCCCATTTATATAATTTAACAAGAACTCAGTCTCAACTTAAATATTTGATAATTGGAAGGTTCAGTCCCAGCCTCCCTTATCACATGTACAAATATCCTTGAGCAAAACACTGTACCTGATTTTTCATACGATCTGCGTGATGGTGATGAGTGTTTGACTGATGTGTATTAGCAGAAAACAGCTATATATGTTGAGTCCATTCATACAACCTTCCTGTGTTATTCATGCTTAAAATTGAACAACTAAAGCAGCTACCTGAAAGAAACGTGGTAAAATTCTATAAATGTTGACAGTTGCCCCCTCTAGCGACAAGTTGAAATGACACTAGTATTGTGCACTGAAATGGGAGAAAAGGAAAATCACCAGTTTGCCACTGCAGGTTTTTGCTAAGAAGCATAATGTCAATGTAGGGGAGAAAGTTATTAATAGTGAAGTTATGCTATCTTACCTTTTTAGGGAAAAGATGGTAAACTGTGGAACCCTTTCAATTCCCGGGGCAGATCTAAGCCCCCAAACTGCCCGAAAATGTACTCTAACCTCATTTTGTCGCTGATCAATATCCAGTTTATCCCTTTGCATGTCTGGACAAAAGTTAAATTTTTTTTTAAATCTTGTTTGGAGTCTGTAATGAGGTATAAGGGGCACTTGGGGACTAGTGATCCATTTTCCAAATCAGTCTCCCATGTTCTCTTGCTAATGCATCAATGGCTGTGTGGAGACTGATCAAGGTAGGTTCAGCACTTCACAGACATACTCATGCCCAGTGAATCCACACCAAATCACTTTCTCATGAACTAACAAATGAAGCGTATGGAAGCAACTTAGAACGTTTCCTTTTAATTAACTTTAAGTGAGCTTTTTCTGTTTTTGCTGTTAAGTGGTAAATTTCTACATCAGGTACTATTTGCAAATAAAGACAAGGAATTCTGTGTGTTTAATAATACATATTCTAATATGTTCTGTGTTTTTTTTTCTTGGATTGCATGAATAAAATACATTAAGAAAAAAAAATATAAACATATTAAGCAAAATCTTATTACGTATATCAATCAATGTCTTGTCTTGACATGAAAAATCGAAATAACATATAATGCTAAGATTGAAGAGCAGCTCATTGCCTTCCAGGGTGATCATCCTACACTTGAAAGAGAACTTTCAGAACGAAGATGCAAGGTGGGAATCTGTAAAAGATTAGAGTTTAAAAGAAGCCCAGCAGACAACCTGGCTTATTACTTCAGGCGTTTCCATTTCTCTTAGCTCAGACCTTTGCCTGACAAGTACACATGGCAAACATGGCTTCCTGGAGGATAAACATAGTCTTTTATGTGATAACAACAAAGACAAAACAGGCTTTAGAAATTCACACACACACCAACACACTCCCACAGAAAGAAAGAGACACACTTCGGGGGCTGGGTAGCATCGTGTGTGCATCAGTGTGGTCTCAGCAGCTGGGAAAAGTCTCCTCCTTGACCTTACGTGTCTGAAACCTGTTGCTGTGCCCCCCGAGACAGAAAGACACATGGAGCAGGGCATATGGTATAACATAAATATCACAGCTTTGTTTATCACCTGATTCTAATTAACTATGACGTCATGCTTTCTTTCTCTTCTCTGTTATTTCTTAAAGCCCCGCTCTTGCGCTTTTGCCCTTCACAGTTACAGCTCAGTTTTTCATTTTCTCACACATTAGGACATTTTCTCATGTGTTTTCCAAGTCTAGATAGATTCCAGCTCCTTAACTGGATCAAAGATGGAGCAAGGTTATCACATCAGCACACACAAACATAGTCCCCCTCTCTGCCCACATGGTTGCAATGGGTGTAACATCACTTTCAGACTCTTTACCTTCTCCACATTTATGATGAAATCCACCATTGTTCGTCCATCTCAATGTTTATCACAAGAAGGCCCTCTATCCTCTTATTATAGGCAGGAATCCTCGACTTCCAATGGTCATGTCAAAACGTGAGTAAGTATGATGCATCAGAGGGCGATTCAAATAGCCTTTCATCCTCCCAGGGCATCTAGTCCTTTGTTTATATGATTACTTGGGTGTTCTGTAAACGACATATCAAGTACAATTACTTTGAAATGTGTTCAAGACACTGATACCCCTCCTTATTCCCTCCCTCATAAAGTTCAAGGACTGGCATTCCTAGCCTGAAATGTCTTAATTATTCTGGTGAAGCAGCTCTAGAGATTTAAATATCCTATTTAATACCTTGTTGGCATATATTTGGACTGAAACATATATGTTCACTTGTTTGTTCTAAGAACCTGGACTGAAGTCTGCCATTACAGTATAACATGTGTCAACCTCTTGGAATTGCTTGTTGTATTTTTACTGAAACTTTAACATGACTTAATGCTTTCTTGCTTTTGCCCGCAATCCATTACAAGGCTTTGAAAGCAGGCAATTTATTTAAGACAGATGTTTCACTCCTATTACCAGTAATATCTGAGTTAGTTGGTTCCTCCATTTCTGCAGGGATTCTAACGTCTTTATTAAAGCAGTTTTGCTGTCTTTTCCGAGTTGACAATTATGCCTAGTATGTTAGGTGTTTGGTTTGTTGAGGCATGTGGCGAGGCTCAGTATGCGGTTTCTGTTTTGACTGCAT